CAAAGTCTGCTGAGTCTGCTGAGAGAATAAACTTGGCTACAGTGGGCAAGATAGGAATCAGCGTAAAGAACAGTCTGTTAAGAACATACTGTGAATCTTAGAGGCTTCTAATTGTAATGATTTCACTGTACAGGGAGGGGGAAGAACTCTGTGAGCCTGATTTTAATAAAACGCTGCTGACAGGCAGTTCAAGAGACACAGAGGTACAGAGAGAGCTTGAGAGCCTGGTCAGAGAGCTTCAACAGATCTCTGTGTTGTTATTCAACCCTCAAACCTTCACTCAGCCCCACCTACCTCACAGGGTGTCTATTGTAGGGAGGGGAAGGGAAAGGAGATTGTAAGCCACTCTGAGATACCTTTGGGTAGTGAAGGGCGGGGTATAAATCCAATCTCTTCTTCTTCTTCTTTTACCTCACAGGGTGTCTGTTGTGGGGAGGGGAAGGGAAAGGAGTTTGTAAGCCGCTCTGAAACCCCTTTGGGTAGTGAAGGGCGGGGTATAAATCCAATCTCTTCTTCTTCTTCTTTTACCTCACAGGGTGTCTGTTGTGGGGAGGGGGAGGGAAAGGAGTTTGTAAGCCGCTCTGAGACTCCTTTGGGTAGTGAAGGGCGGGGTATAAATCCAATCTCTTCTTCTTCTTCTTCTTCCTCACAGGGTGTCTGTTGTGGGGAGGGGAAGGGAAAGGAGTTTGTAAGCCGCTCTGAGACACCTTTGGGTAGTGAAGGGCGGGGTATAAATCCAATCTCTTCTTGTAGAAGAGTTTGTAAGCTACTTTGAGACTCCGAGTGAATGGCGGGGTGTAAATACAATATCTTTTTCTTCCTCTTCTTCTTCTGTAGGTCTGGAGATCAACTGTAATAGTGGGAGATCTCCGGGTGCCATCTGGAGGTGGGCAACCTTACAAGTTATCTTGCTCTTATTTTATTTATCTATTTTAATTGATTGATTGATTGATTGATTCGATTTATACCCCGCCCTCTCCGCTGAAGCAGGCTCAGGGCAGCTGACATTAAATTTTATTTTTACAATTTGTGTCTTATGCTCTGTCCCTCAAGGGGTCTCAAAGTACTTCCATGATCCAACAGTAGAAAATAATAATAATAATAATAGATTGGATTTATACCCCACCCTTCACTACCCAAAGGAGTCTCAGAGCAGCTTACAAACACCTTTCCCTTCCCCTCCCCACAACAGACACCCTGCGAGGTAGGCGGGGCTGAGAGAGCTCTCTCGAGGACTGCTCCTGAGAGAACAGCTCAGAGAGAACTTGTGACTGCAGCTGCATGTGGAGGAGTGGGGGAATCAAACCCGGTTCTCCCAGATTAGAGTCCGCGCTCCTAACCACTACACCAAACAGGCTCTCCGTATGTAGAAGAGGAAGAGAAGAGATTGGATTTATACCCCACCCTTCACTACCCAAAGGAGTCTCAGAGCAGCTTATAAACACCTTTCCCTTCCCCTCCTCACAACAGACACCCTGTGAGGTAGGTGGGGCTGAGAGAGCTCTTGACAGAAACTTGTCTTTTTCAAGGACAGCTCTGACAGAACTATGGCTTGCCCAATGTCATCCAGCAGCTGCGAGTGGAGGAGTGGGGAATCAAACCCAGTTCTCCCAGATTAGAGTCCGTGCTCCTAACCACTACACCAAACAGGCTCTCGGTATGTAGAAGAGGAAGAGAAGAGATTGGATTTATACCCCACCCTTCACTACCCAAAGGTGTCTCAGAGCGGCTTACAAACTCCTTCCCCGTCCCCTCCCCACAACAGACACCCTGTAAGGCAGGTGGGGCTGAGAGAGCTCTGACAGAAACTGCTCTTTTTCAGGAACAGATCTGACAGAACTATGGCTTGCCCAAGGTCATCCAGCAGGTGCGAGTGGAGGAGTGGGGAATCAAACCCGGTTCTTCCCAGATTAGAGTCTGCGCACTTAACCACTACACCAAAATAAAATATAAACTTACACGAATGGTTCTACAATTAATAGGGAGACAGAAACAATGCCCAGTAAAACCAGTAATTATCCATACCAAAACCAAAAGGAAGGTCTTCTTACTTCCTCTGGGAAACCAGGCCACAGTCTCTTAACTATGGTCACCTCGAGGTTAGACTACTGTAATGCTCTCTACATGGGGCTGCCCTTGGGGCAACTCCGGAAGCTGCAGCTGGTGCAAAACGCGGCAGCCAGGCTGTTGATGGGCCTCCCCAGGTGGGAGCACATCCAGCCTGTGCTGAAGTCGTTGCACTGTCTTCCAGTAGCGTCCGGATTCGCTTCAAGGTGCTGGTTTTGACCTTTAAAGCCCTTAATGGTCAGGGGCCTGCCTACCTGAGGGACCGCCTTTCCCCGTACATTCCCCCAAGAGCACTGCGGTCTGGAACACAACACCGCCTGCCCCCCCCCCCGGGCCTATGGACGCTAGGCTGGTGGTCACTATGACCAGGGCATTCTCCCTGGTGGTGCCAACGCTGTGGAACGAGCTCCCCAATGAGATTAGAGCTCTACCTCCAGCAGTTCCGCAGAGCCGTGAAAACGGAGCTGTTTCCGCCAAGCATTCCAATAAGAACTGACTGCACTGGTTGGGCCGCACCAACACTTTATTACAGGATGCCGCTGTATTTATTCAGCTCCACTGTATTTATTAGAATTGTATGGAATTGTATTTTATATCTTGTAATTGCTGGTTTTAAATTGTATGTTGGTTTTATATTGTCTGGAGCTGCGGTGGCTCAAGCGGTTAAGACGCTGAACTGCAGGCTGTGGAAGGTCAGTAGTTCAGCAGTTCGAGGCCCGGGTGCCGCATGATGGAGTGAGCTCCCGTCTCTAGTTCCAGCTCCTGCCAACCTAGCAGTTCGAAAGCAAGAAATTGCAAGTAGATAAAGAGGTAAGGCGAAGCCAGCCACAAAATGGCTGCCGCAGAAGGCGAAGCCAGCCACAAAATGGCTGCCGCAGAAGGCGAAGCCAGCCACAAAATGGCTGCCGCAGAAGGCGAAGCCAGCCACAAAATGGCTGCCGCAGAAGGCGAAGCCAGCCACAAAATGGCTGCCGCAGAAGGCGAAGCCAGCCACAAAATGGCTGCCGCAGAAGGCGAAGCCAGCCACAAAATGGCTGCCGCAGAAGGCGAAGCCAGCCACAAAATGGCTGCCGCAGAAGGCGAAGCCAGCCACAAAATGGCTGCCGCAGAAGGCGAAGCCAGCCACAAAATGGCTGCCGCAGAAGGCGAAGCCAGCCACAAAATGGCTGCCGCAGAAGGCGAAGCCAGCCACAAAATGGCTGCCGCAGAAGGCGAAGCCAGCCACAAAATGGCTGCCGCAGAAGGCGAAGCCAGCCACAAAATGGCTGCCGCAGAAGGCGAAGCCAGCCACAAAATGGCTGCCGCAGAAGGCGAAGCCAGCCACAAAATGGCTGCCGCAGAAGGCGAAGCCAGCCACAAAATGGCTGCCACAGCTTCCCTTCAGTCACACCGTGGGGATCCTCGTGCTGTGGCGGCAGCTGCTGCCAAAGCAACATTTTGAAAATTCTGCACAGCCAACGGAATCTCCAATAGCCAATCCGAAGCCTTCCTCAGGAAAATCCTGCCCACTTTCTAAAAACACTTGGCAGGTGCCAGGAAGGGTGTTGGCAGGTGCCAAGGAGAAAGCTGAGGTGGTCTTCACTGACATTTGCGAGCTATTCAGCCCCTCAAGCTCACTGGGTAATCTATTTTTACAAGAGGGAAATGGACTGGGGAATTAGTCACTTTCTCCACTATGATTCTCCACTAGAACTCGAGGGCATCCAATGAAGCCGCCTCTGTGCATCTCCTCTTTGGATGGGGGGGATGCGACCGCTGAGCACAAGGTCAATGTTACATAACTCTTTGTTATAAATTTAGCTAAGTGTAGAAATTAATGACCTGGAATACCCCTTGGAAGGAAGGAACACAGCAGCCATGTCAACTTGGGAAAGAAGGGAAAAGAAGACAGATGCTTACAAGCTCTGGGAATCTGAAACCTGCCCCTCATCTATTTGATCCAGCCTCAATTTTTTTTTGGGGGGGGTAGGGGTTGGAATCTGGTCCAGAGAAGGAATTCTTTAGTGCAGGGGTCATTTCATAGAAAAAGAGGTACAGGAGCTCATTAGCATAACTTATTTGCATATGCCACACCCCCTGACATCACCAGAAGTGTGTCAGAAGGCAACACCCACCGCTCAGGCTCCACTGGACTGTTTTGGATTGCTAGCTATTGGGGGAGGGAGTGCAGATCTGCCCTCGCAGAGGAGGAAGAGCTTGTACCTGAATAAAACTTGGTCTTAAAGGTGCCACTGGACTGTTTTGGACCGGGGGGGGGTGGGCGGGCTCTGCAACTTATCTGGCTGCTTCTTGCTCTGACTGAGGGCTGCTGGGAGTGGGGGATGGGGCGTGTTGCATGTGCCCGCCCCCTGGGCTCTTTACTGCCGGAGCTCTGCTCCTGTGTGCTCCTGCAGGAAATGACCCCTGGCTAGGAGGCAACATCAGGGGATGATCTCAGCCTCTCTGCCCTGCCGTTGGCCCTCCAGAGGGGCTGGTTGGCCCCTGTGTGAGACAGGATGCTGGACTAGAGGGACCCTCACTGGTCTGATCCAGCAGGGCTCTTCTGATGTTCCTATCAGGGGAAGGCCTTGGCCTCTATGCCCTGTTGTTGGCCCTCCAGAGGAACTGGTTGGCCACTGTGTGAGGCGGGATGCCGGACTAAATGGACCCTCACTGGTCTGATCCAGCAGGGCTCTTCTCATGCTTTTCTCAGGGAAAGGTCTCGGCCTCAGCCTCTGTGCCCTGTTGTTGGCCCTCATGTTGGCCCCTGTGTGAGACAGGAGGCTGGACTAGATGGACCCGCACTGGTCTGATCCAACAGGGCTCTTCTTACATTCTTATGATTCTTTCTACCTGAAAAAGATCCACTTTCTCCATAATTTGGTAAACCACTCTTGTATCTCTGTTGTTCCCCGGTCTCCCCCCCCTCCCCATTCCTGCCCTCCCACCGTTACCTGGACAGACTCTCCTTCCTTTGTCCCTCGTCTCATCACCAGAGATTTTGCGTTGTTGTCGCTGGGTGAAGAACGTTCCTCCGCGAAGGCCAGGAAAGTGGATTCAGAAGGCAGGTACATCAGAGCTGGAATGCGATAGGTGAGGCCTTCTGGCGATTCCTGGCGGAAGAGACTCACCTTCCCCAAACCTACATGAGCTTTCGCCATCTTGGACCTGTTGAGATCAAGAAGGAGGGTTGCCAACTCCCGCTGGGGAAATGCATGGAGATTTGAGGGTGGTGCCTTTGGAGGACACGGCTTGGGAAGTGAAAGAACCTCAGTGGGATATGATGCCATACAATTCACCCTCCAGAGCAGCCATTTTCTCCAGGGGGAACTGATCTGGAGATCAGGTGTAATTCTGGAAGAGTTTCACCACCACCCCCCTTGTGATTTCAGCTTGCTTTAGACCAAAGGATCCAGTGTGATATGGTGACTGTATACCCGCTTTCCTCCCCTTTCTTTCTATGGCCTTATACACGTGGTACCTGAGAGAAGGAAAAACTAAAAACTGTAGATAAAATTTATTATTAGATGGAATAGAAGGGGACTTGGGAGGATTTCTTTTCCCATCAAGAGGACTGACGTTTGGGGCACCTCAGAGAAAACAGAGCTGAGTAAAACCAACCCTGCGAGGCGGAACACAGAGCAAACTGATTCATGCAGTGGCCAAATCGCCCGCTTAAAACTTTGATGCTAGTAGCTCACAGAGTAGAATTTTTGCTCACAAAACTCCACAGAAGAAAAAGAAGAGATTGGATTTATACCCCGCCCTTCACTACCTGAGGGAGTCTCAGAGCAGCTCACAATCTCCTTTCCATTCCCCTCCCCACAACAGACCCCATGTGAGGTTGGTGGGGCTGAGAGAGCTCTGACAGAAACTGCTCTTTTTCAAGAACAGCTGTGCCAGGACTATGGCTTGCCCAAGGTCATGCAGCAGCTGCAAGCGGAGGAGTAGGGAATCACACCCAGCTCTACTTCATGAGCTGCCAGCATTAAAGTTGTGAGCGAGCAATTTGGCTGCTGCATAAATGAGTTGGCTCTGGACACAATGTTCCCTCTAAGCTGTGGAGTCCTGTGAGCAAAAATTCTACTTTGTGAGCGACTGGCATTGAAGTTGTGAGCGAGCGATTTGGCTCCTGCATCAATTATATTGCTCTGGAGCCATCCTTCCTGAGCTAAGACAAAAATGTGTGAGCCAGAGGCTAAAAAACCGTGAGCTAGCTCACACTAACTCAGCTTAGAGGGAACACCGTCCTTCCTGAGCTGAGGCCAAAAAACTGTGAGCTAGCTCACTAACTCAGCTTAGAGGGCACACTGATTCCAATGTATTTGGAAAAGTGTGCGTGCACACTTTGGCAATGCCCCTTTTGGCTGTGCTCTTTCAGCTCTGCTCCTGCAGAGTGCGGGGGTTGGACTAGATGACCTTCAAGGTCCCTTCCAACTCTAACATTCTATGATTCTATGAAAGCTCATACCTTGAGTCAAACTTCGTTGGTCTTAAAAGTGCCGCTGGACTCTAAATTCCTTCTACCCCTTCAGACCAACACGGGTGCACCACCGGGATCGGCCCAGTCAACACCCATGCCGCCGCGTTACATAGCCAATGTTGGATCAGGCCAATGGCCCCTCCAGTCCAACACTCTGTCACACCAAATGACCCCTCCAGTCCAACACTCTGTCACACCAAATGGCCCCTCCAGTCCAACACTCTGTCACACCGTGGCCAAAAACACCAGGTGCCATCAGGAGGTCCACCAGTGGGGCCAGGACACTAGAAGCCCTCCCACTGTTGCCCCCCCCCCAAGGACCAAGAATACAGAGCATCCCTTGCCCCAGACCAAGAGTTCCTATCTATACCTTAAGAACAGAAGAACAGAAGAGAAGCCAATGCTGGATCAGGCCAATGGCCCATCCAGTCCAACACTCTGTGTCACACAGTGTACACAATACAGAGTATCACTTGCCCCAGACTGAGAGTTCAGATCTATACCTTGTGGAATACAGAGCATCACTCGCCCCAGACTGAGAGTTCAGATCTATACCATAAGAACAAAAGAGAGAAGGCAATGTTGGATCAGGCCAATGGCCCATCCAGTCCAACACGCTGTATCACACAGTGGCCAAAAATACCAGGTGCCATCAGGAGGTCCAGCAGTGGGGCCAGGACACTAGGAGCCCTCCCACTGTTGCCCCCCCCAGCACCAAGAATACAGAGCATCCCTTGCCACAGACTGAGAGTTTCTATCTATACCTTAAGAAGATATGAGCATAAGATAAGCCAATGCTGGATCAGGCCAATGGCCCATCCAGTCCAACACGCTGTATCACACAGTGGCCAAAAATCCCAGGTGCCATCAGGAGGTCCAGCAGTGGGGCCAGGGCACTAGGAGCCCTCCCACTGTTGCCCCCCCCCCAAGGACCAAGAAGACAGAGCATCACTTGCCCCAGACCGAGAGTGCCTATCTATACCTTAAGAAGATATGAGCATAAGATAAGCCAATGCTGGATCAGGCCAATGGCCCATCCAGTCCAACACGCTGTATCACACAGTGGCCAAAAATCCCAGGTGCCATCAGGAGGTCCAGCAGTGGGGCCAGGGCACTAGGAGCCCTCCCACTGTTGCCCCCCCCCCAAGGACCAAGAAGACAGAGCATCACTTGCCCCAGACCGAGAGTGCCTATCTATACCTTAAGAACATAAGAACATAAGAGAAGTGTAAGGAAGACACCAACCTGTCGGTAACACAGCAACTCTGTAGAACTGAAGGACGGCAGAAGGGGGAGGATCAACCTTGCAAGTCTTTACAGGAAGGGTCCGGTACTCAGTTTGCAAGAGCTGCACAGCTGAGATCTCTTAATTAACAGCTGCACTAGAGACAGAGAGGGGCAGCGTCTTAACAGGTCCTTCCAAAGATAAAATAGCAAAAGTTGTGGGGGGTAGGATAACGCGCGTCTGGTGGGCAGGATGTTTTCCTACGTGCATAAATTCAACGGTGGCTACTTCTAGCTCTTGCATTAAACAAATTCCTTCCGGATAATTCATCAGTGTATTGTTGAAAATTATACACTGAAGAAAAACATCAACTGACGTTTGATAAAGACGCAAGTCGAAACGGACAGTCGAACTCCAGAAAGTTCGTCTTGCTGGGACTTCGGTCTCTTGATGTATTCATCTGTTGAAACAAAACAACAATTAAAATAGCATTACTATTTGTTTATTAGAGTATGAACTTGTACAGCAATATGTTGTTTTTGTATAATATCTGAATTGCTGGGTCCTGTTTGCATTTGCGTTTCAATAAAAGTATAACCTTCCAGTAAGCGTGTACTCTGTTGTTGCTGTGGGACCTGACATCTATACCTTGTGGCTCATAACCACTGATGGACCTCTGCTCCAGATGTTTATCCAGTTCCCTCGTGAAGCCGTCCATGCTTGTCGCTGCCACCACCTCCTGCGGCAGTGAATTCCATGTGTGAATCACTCTTTGGGTGAAGAAGTCCTTCCTTTTATCTGTTCTAACCCGACCGCTCAACAATTTCACGGACCGCCCGTGACTTCTTGTACTGTGAGACAGGGAGAACCAGCTGCTGTTTCTGGAAGATGGTCAAGGGTCAAGGGTAGCCCCCTCTAAGCTGTGGAGTCTTGTGAGCGAGAAATCTACTTTGTGAGCGACTGGCATTCAAGTTGAGAGCGAGCAATTCGGCTCCTGCATAAATTAGTTTGCTCTGGAGCAGTGTTCCCTCTAAGCTGAGTGAGTGTGAGCTAGCTCATGGTTTTTTAGCCTCCAGGACACACATTTCTGTCTCAGCTCAGGAAGGGAGGGCTCCAAAGCAAACTGATCTACGCCGTAGCCAAATCGCTCACTCACAACTTTAATGCCAGGAGCTCACAAAGAAAAATGTTTTGCTCACAAGACTCCACAGCTTAGAGGGAACATTGCTCTGGAGCCGTCCTTCCTGAGCGAAGACAAAACTGTGAGCCGGAGGCTAAAAAACTGTGAGCTAGCTCACACTTACTCAGCTTAGAGTGAACGCTGGTCAGGAACCAGACATGTGTTTCCTTCCTTACTTCCTTCCTTCCTTCCTTCCTTCCTTCCTTCCTTCCTTCCTTCCTTCCTGGACGAAAGACTCTTAAAATAGCATCTCAATTGATTTTTTTTTTTTAATTCCTGAAAAGAATCTTGGATCAGGCGATCGCCACCGAATCCCAAAGGACTCTGGTGGTACCCTGAAGGCTTCAGGAAAACCCCCGGAAAAAAACATTTTCCCCCCTGAATTTTCCCGGTTTTTTCCTGGGCCTTCACGGGTGCCGTTCTGCCTCCCCTCTGGCATGGAAGCACTGGACTCTCCAAAGCACATCACCCGCCCACAATGCTCCCTCTGAGCTGTGGAGTCCTGTGAGCAAAAATTCTACTTTGTGAGCTGCAGGGATTCAGTCAGTTTGCTCTGGAGCCATCCTCCCTGAGCGGAGACAAAAATGTGTGAGCCGGAGGCTTAAAAAACTGTGAGCTAGCTCACACTGACTCGGCTCAGAGGGAACACTGCCTGGGAGGTGCAGGGAGAGTCATAAACCTGCTCTCTAGGGTTGGGGGCAGCGGAAAAGAGCCAGGGAGTCTAAATAGCACCTGCAAGACTTAACCAGATGTGTGGCAGGGGAGAGGCGGTTTGGTGTGAGTCAGGGGGCTCACTTCTATAGGGCTGGGGTTTTTTTTTTTACGATCAATGCTCCCTCCAAGCTGTAGAGTATTGTGAGCAAAAATTCTACTCTGTGAGCTACCGGCATTAAAGTTGTGAGTGAGCCAAGCCACCAACGGTGGAGGAATGGAGAAACAAAATATGGGAATTCTTCATCATGGATAAAACAACCAATGTAGTAGACCCCTCTAGAACATCACGGGGCACAACCCACTCCAAATTCGTAAACACCTGCTTCCCATACTTACAATTCAGGGCAGAAAACAATCTCCTGCCACAAAATCCGAAATTTGCATCACGGCTTCACTTTTCACCCAGCTGTACTCCTGAATCTTTGACAACACTGCACACTAAATGACCCCGGATATTCAGGTTCATGCTCGTGTTCATGTCCATACCAGTATAGAGTACTCTCAGGCAACGCGCAAGTGAGACATTCTTGTTGTAGTGTTATCCCTTCTGTTCTGAAGCTTATGTTATCCTATCCGCCTTGTTAAAGGTTCCCATGCTCGAAAGCCAGTCGAGTCCGACTCTAGGGTTGCAGTGCTCATCTCCGTTTCAAAGCTGAAGAGCCAGCGCTGTCCGAAGACATCTCCGTGGTCATGTGGCCGGCATGACTAAACACCAAGGCGCATGAAACGCTGTTACCTTCCCACCCAAGTGGTACCTATTGATCTACTTGCAATTTCTTGCTTTCGAACTGCTAGGCTGGCAGGAGCTGGGGCCAGAGACGGGAGCTCACTCCGTCACGCGGCACACTTGGGTCTCGAACTGCTGAACTACCGACCTTCCACAGCCTGCAGTTCAGCGTCTTAACCACTTGAGCCACCGCAGCTCCTTTCCGCCTTGTTACTCTGATACAATTCTGCACTGTATGTTGCTTAGATGCTGAAATTCTTTTGTTTGCACTCAAACTGAAATAAAATTATTATTAAAAGCTAAAAAAACGTGAACCGCCCTGAGCCGCTTCGGCGGAAGGGCGGGGTAGAAATTTAATAAGATAGATAGATAGATAGATAGAT